TGGCGGATACGGGGTGGGGGACGGGGACGGATCCTACCTCCCTCGTGCCCGAGGGGCTCCAAAGGGGTTCCAAATGGTTCATAATCGGCCGAAGGGGCGCAGTTTCCTAACAAAGAACGCAAAAAAATGGACGTTTGTGGCCCACAGACGACCAAGAACAGTGGCAAGCGAAACTCTAGAGCCAATGAGCAGACAAAGTAAGTCTTCGCTGATTGAGAGGGAGAATATCGGGGAAACTCTCATTACCCTGTTCAGAGGCCTTGCACTGTTTCCAGGACCCTGTACGTCCACTTGCCGGGTCAATCCAAACGCTAAGGACCCTCACGCGTTGCGCGTGTTATCTTTGCATTTTCTCATTCCCTACGCTGCTGGTGGGGCAGTATCCGCTTACGTCCCTGGGCACTCTTGTTCGATCGAGTTTTGTTCCACGGATTCTTCACATTTACTCAAAAAGCTGTATACGCTTTTTCCGGATATAAAATTTGCGGAGGCCCCTTCACTCCTATCGGGTTCTTTCTGTTGACCTGAGCGGGCACCCTTTAAGTCACAGGGGCCTTGATAAATATGCACTGATCTCGGGTAGTTCTTTCTTCTTCTTCTTTTTTTTTTTTGCTTAGAGGGTCCCGTGCTCTGGCAGGGGTCCCACATCAGCTTGTTGGGACACTCCCGATCGGTCAGGAGCCTACCTCGCTGGTCTTTGGTTCTTTTCGCTTGCTTTGCGAACCCTATACTTACCGACGGGAGCGTATTTGTTGGCCTGTCATGGCGCCCTCGGTCGTTCAGGTTCCGTCGCTGCTGGCTTTTGTGTCTTAGTCTTAGAGCAGCTGTCGGGTATGCGCTGATTAATTATTACGCCCAGTGGTCGAACGTAATTCTATGTATCACCGACGCCGTATGTGTATTCCGTTGATTATTTAATTTGTGACACGTATACCTGTGCATCACGTTCTAAATGTGTTGTCGTTTCCAAGATGTGTTGTGCTCTTTTACAGCAAAGGGAAAACTGCTTTAGTAATCGGCCATCAGCTGATCACATCGACCAGCCGGCTAGCCGTAAATCAGCAAGGGAATCAAGTTCGTGCCCGATTTCCATGGTGTTTAGCAGCCAACTTTAATTTATTCTGCCATGTTTCTCCGAAATGCATAGCCCCAAAATGGCAGGATTTGCAATGATTTGGAGAAAATTAATAAGATGCATATATGTACATACGTAGCGCGCCTAGTCTTCTAGGGTTGCGTAAAGTACAGTACAGTACAGTATAGTACAGTACAGTACAGTACAGCACAGGCCACATTCCCAACGCGAAAAGCTAAGCGACAAGTCTTGAGCTTGCATTTGAACCATGCGCACGTTGTCGTGCGAGACCCAATGGAAATTACAAATGTGGGGATCACCAGACCTTTTATAACAATCTCGTGTGTCCGGTTTCTGTATAAAACATACCCTGGACTTCTTCTGGCCACCACAAAACCTGCAGAGCGGTCACCTGACTTAACAGACCAGCGCCGACTTTCATTATCGATAACCAATCCGCGGGCGACCCGCTACAGGGGCGGGCCGTGGAAGTGAGCGGCAAAACACTACCAAACGTGATTCATGACTCACGCCTACCATCAACGTTTGCCATGTATCCAGAGAGCATCAGTCACGGTGTATGTCTTGTCCGCCACCAGCCGATCAGAAATTGACCCGAGCGTCCGCGGTATTAGGTTCCAGAACGCGAGAGCCCATCCAACTGTTACCAGCGCCCCGACCTGCGCTGCCCTGCCTGTCCCCCTCCCCAGGGGAGAGCGAGCGAAGATCGGTGTGCACTTATACGAGCCAGTGTGCCGTGCTGGATACCCGTGGCTCTGTGAGTGGACGCGCCTCCTCAATACACGTGGCTGAAATAGCACGAATGCATGGTTGTCTGGGCGTTGCCAAACATTTTCGGATTTTCTTGTCACGTAAGTTGTTAAGTTGTGCATAAGTTGCAGTAAGCAGCTGCGCGTAAGTTATGCATTTACGAGGAATGTTGTGCACATAAGACAGCACTACTATCTTTATTGCTCGGAGAAAAAGCAGGAGAATGGAGATCTAGATTTGTTCATAATTCGGCAGCACGCCTTTATCGAAACGAATAGCAGAGGCTTCTGGTGTTCGTTTCGATAAATGCGTGCTGCTGATGTTGCCGCGATATCAGCCATCTATATCTCCAATCTTTTGGTTTTCCCCGATGAATAAGGTTACTAGTGCTGTGTTATAGATGTTCTAGTCGGTAAAGTATGAACTACAGAATGGCACAGGATCGGGAGACCCAGGATTACGTATAACTGTTTCCGGCAGAATGCGATGCAGGCCATTAAAAGACAACCTGAAACCAACCGTTTATTCGTCGTTTCACACAATGAAAGCAGCCAATGTTTTTTTTTTTAGAACGTCCCAGCTGAATCAACGTCAACATCGTTGCACCCATATGAACATAAAATCAGTAAAATGCAAAACTAGGTAGTGGCATCCGTATTGATAAATTACTCGAATGTTACATAACGGAAGCTGCCCTTGGCTCTCCCGATGTCTGTATAAATATCATTAAAACGTTTTATTGACTCAGCACCAGTGAACCCACGTATCAAGCTGTCCAAAAGCAGTCTAGGCGTATCCGAATAGCACTGGCAGCGCGGCCCCGCGTCCAAACAATGTCTCATCGACATGGCGACAACACCCCAGGGCTCTGCCTAGCTGGCGGCCTGCTTGACATTGGTCTGCAGCTGGACGGCCTGCACCAGCAGCGGCAGCAGGTGCACGTGCTCCCTGCCCAGCGCCAGCGGCAGCTCCTCGGCCCAGCCAGCATCCTCGGCGTCCCAGCGGGCCAGCAGCAGGCCCAGTGTCACGCGCAGCCGCTCGGCGCCCAGGATCTGCCCCAGGCGGCAACAGGTCACTGCCAGACGATGTCGGCCCGAGCTATCGGCCACGTGAGATGCCTGGTTCAGCTGCTCCAGACCGGGGGACAATCCACAACCGACGGCTGGCATGTCGTTAGCTGAAGCGGCGTCATAATCGATCCCATAGGTCAATATGACGTCGGACTGACTGACGTCATGTGAAGATCATGACGTCCTATACTGACGTCATAACCGTCATAATCGATCCACACGACCCCACTAGAAAGTAGTTTCAATGGCCCATTTCATAGCAGTTTTCGCAACAACAGAACACACAAATCACAGCAGTTTATGAGCGCATCGTGTGTTAAAATTGGTGGACACAGACTTACCGAGAGTTTAGTTTAGGGGTTTAGAGACCCGATAAAAAGGTTGCTAAAAAGGGGAGCATGCTCAGACTAGATTAACAAGTCTCTTGACGCAACCGTAGAAAATATTTCAGCATTAAAACTGATCCAGAATAATCATGCAACGTCAAAGCTGGCTGTTGCACGGATGTTCAGCGACGTTTATTTGGGCTGTCCAATAGACCACTCGGTTCGACTTTAGACTGCTTGGTGGGTTGAAACCGATCCACTTAGAAACCAGTTTCATCACGATCCGGTTTCGGAAGCGATCGCCTGCCGTGAATTGGTGTTATATTCACAAACCACTTCACAATGATATGTGGACAAATAAGTGTTTGCACGCCTCGCACTTAGACCGCATTGCCGGGGCAACCTGTCATTCTTGACGCTGGGATGGTATCTAACACGTCCCTGTCTCAACCCCCTCCCCCCCCTTCCCTCCCTGCTAATCACCACGAGGGTTATAATCACCGGACGACAGTCTCGGGATCCCTCTCATAGCCTAGGGATTCCCCTCATAGCCTCGGGCCCCAGAATGCAATGCATTCCTACCTAACTACTCAATGAATAAGGACATGATAAATTTAATACTGCAGATTACTTAATATGTTTACAATGTGTGGGATGTGTGGGACTGCTAGTGCATTGCAACCAGACGTACTTTGGACACCTACGTTTTCGTTTTCAGAAGACACAAGCGTCCTTAATGGTGATACGTGTGCTTTAAGACAAAATATGGAGCAATTGTGCGCATCAGCAGCAAAACAGGGTAGTCATGCCAATATTTACATAATTTGAATACCACCCTGAAAACGTGGTGGTTGTGGTTGTGGTTGACCGTGGTTGAGATTGGTCCAGACAGCGGTCAGATGCCATCCAACCTCCTGCAGGACAATCTTTCTCTTCGTTTCGGAGCCGGCTGTTCAGTGTCCATCGAACTGAGTCCGGCCCGGCTCTCAGCCCGATGTCAGAGGCAGCTGCACCAATCAGTAGCCGGCGAAGGCGCGTGCACGACCGTGAGCGGCCATTACGGTCGATTAGTGCCAGCCGACGTCATTACTACGCCGTCTTCGCCCGACGGAGCGGAGAGGGTGCTATAGGAGCCGGATCGAAGAGTAAGCGGCTACTCCACGTGGGACGTGGCAGCGGGTGGGCGGGGCAGAGCGGAGCCGGTTTGGATAGGCGATGTTGACGATAGCGGCAGGACGGACGGGCAGGGGCTATGAGACATCGCCTGACTGGGAAAACCTGTCAGGATTGGGATGCATGTTAGACATATCCGTCATAGCCAGTCGGAGAGATGGCTCCTCCACTGCAGTCCGAGTGTAGCACTCTCCGCAGAGACTCAAACTCTCCGAGAGTGCTCTCTCTCTCCATCGTTATTTGTCGTGGGATCGCAAGGCGACTCCACATCCTGCCCTGGCTGACAGATGCATTATCCAAGGCTGTGTTTTTGTCTGAAGACTCGCCCAACTTAGTTGCTCCAGCGGGATGACCTCGTATGCGCTCTTAGCTCACCCGGGTGCCCCAAGAGAGTGGACTCGTCCGAGGTCTCACCTGCTTGGAGTGCCCAACACAATGGACTTGCTCGCGGTCTCATCTGACCCGAGGGCCCAACACGGTGGACTCGTCCATGGCCCTGCCTCACCTGAGCGCCCCGACACGGTGGACTCGTCCGCGGCCTCGCCTGGCCAAGATGTCCCAGCCGAGCAGACTCGTCCGGAGCCTCACCTGACCCAGGTGCCCCAGCAGAGCAGACTCGTCCGGAGCCTCACCTGACCCAGGTGCCCCAGCAGAGTAGACTCGTCCGCCGGTCGACCGGGCCGGATCCTTGCAACCCACATCACGCGGGCCAGCTGCTCGTCCTTGGCGTAGCGACACTGAGCGCAGATCAGCGAACAGCACGCCGCGCTCTGGCACCCCACCTTGCGCGCGTGCAGCGCGGTGCAGCCTGCCGAGCCACGTGACGTCAGAGAATCAGCTGGCGGCACTGTTTGTGTCGCCAGACGCGTGGTTCGAAGCGAAACGACCATTTTCACAGAAAACGAGACGTGCTCCCGGAATATGGCAGCCGAGAACGGAAGAGGTCTTTCTGAACATTCTCTGAAAGTTCCGAGAGTCCTTTGAATGCTACTATCGAAGTGAGCGCCACGAATGCCGGTCAATAGTTGGACGTGTTATGACCTCGTCATGAATATAAATACGCCAGCCCGCCTTTTAAAGGTCACTATATTTCATTTCATAGTACCTGAACTACGCCAATAGACATTGGCTGACCGCTCCTTACGTAAAGAAAGCAACAATGTTTGAGCAATTATGTCGGCCGAGGCGATTAAGTGATTCAAACAAAACGACAGACACGCTTTCACGGTATTTCGCATGGCAGGGCAAGTCCTCCACCACAGTTAGCATTAAAGAAACGGGCACTATAAGGCGGCGCATTGTTGCCCTCACTATTAAAACATACCAGCCGTGGTCAATCGCTTCTCGGACATCAGCCTACCTGTCAGCTGAATGCTGTTCTGGTTGATGTCCGGCAGGCGCGGCGACAAGTTCACCAGCGTGGCCTCCTGACTGTCGCATTCCTTCTCCTCGGCCGCCGAGCCGGGCGGCTGACGCTCCGGACCGCCGCCTGGCTCTTGAGGACGTTCGGCCGGTACCGGCCGCGGACTGCCAGCCTCCCGTCTCCGGCTGACCTCCGGCGGCTGCTGGTCCGTCCGCCGCTGCTGGTCGTCTGAGTGGGTCCAGTGTGGCCGTTGGCTTCTGCCGATGTCGCTGTCGACACTGCTAACGCTGCTGGCGCTGCTGGCGCTGCTGACGCTGCTGGCGCTGCTGATGTTGCTGGCCGAACTATCGCCGCGTGGAACCACCTGATGATGGGCTCCCACACCCCTGTCCCTGCTACTGGCGACTGTGATGCTGTCGCTTCTGGAGACCGCCTGCTGCTGCTGACTTCTCGAGTTGCCGACAGAGCTGTTGCTGCTGATGCTGGGGATGATATCGTTCTTCAAGACTTGCTGCTGCTGGCGGGTGCCTACGCTGCTAGTGGAGCCGTCGCTGCGAGACGCCACTGGTCGCTCCACCGGGCGGGCTACGGCAGCCCCTTTAGACCTCCTGAAACAGAAAAGCCTTTAAAGCACAATCCAGCAGATTGCCGCCTGAATCGTGCCACATTCAGAGGCCATTGTGCAGGCAAATAGCACGGGCTTCGGCCGGCACAGACGGAATTACGATCGCGCTTCAATAATCCACATGCAATTAGATCAGCATTAGCGGACTCAGCAATCGGTGGTATCACGTTAATCGAACATTCCGGGAATAACTCATTTATGCGTACCTCCAGCCCTCCCCTGCCCCCCCCCCCCTCCCCTCCTTCTCCACCCCACCTGCGCGCGCACCTCGGCGAGGGCTCGTCCCAGGTACCGGGCGCTGCGGCGGACGGGCGAGCCGCGCGCCGCGCCCGACGGCGCCGGCACCGGAGAGCGTGGCAGCGCTGCCACCGGCGAACGGGAGCGGCCACCGGCGCGCGCCGGCGAGCGGCCAGCCGGCGTGACCGGCCGCGCCAGGCTCAAGCTCGGCCGGCGGAACACCCGCGCCGGCGAGCGGTCGCGGTGCGGCGTGGCGCGCGGCTCGGCCGCCTCCTCGCTCGGGTCGCTGGCGCTGCGCGGCCGCGTCTCCTGGCGCGCGAACTTGTTCTTGAGCACCTGGCGGATGAGAGCACTCGGGCCGCGACCGGAAGCGCCGCGACTCTGCCGGAGGTGGTTGGCTGTGACGGCGCCGCCCGCGACCGTGGCAGCGGTGAAGGCGTCGTCACGATAGCGGATATGAAGTAGAAAAGAGTACGCACCATTCCAAGCGTGACGAACCGGGAATGTGGCCGTGAATGGGCACGGTCTCAAGATAGATTGGTGACATTAAGGACGCTCACTTGAGCAGTTCCAGTAAGACATCGATTGAAACGATAGCGCGATCGTTGGCATATTCTTGGGAATTCGGCAGATGATTGCCGGGCTGAAGAAACTGTGCGGCACTGAATGTGCTGCCGGATCGCTGCAGCACGCCGAAGCTGAATGGTGCACCAGTTAGATGGTGTTTGGCGAGGCAATGGTGGTCCCCGGCATACTTATAAAATATACTCTAGCGGAATCTCCGGATAAGCCACATCTTATAATAGCGCTGCGTAATGCCACTGCGCTCCGTCAAAACGTGACATCAAAGTAAATCAATTGTAGTTATTTTCTATGCAGATTTACGCTGCCGACGCTTTGTAACGATGCTGTCTTTCTTTCCTGCAGCTACCGTGACCACAGTCGCCATGACAACAGCAATGACCCTCTACTGGTGCGAATAAAAAAAAAACGTTTATGACTAGCCCAGCGGGTGGCAAGAGCCTGTTACCGAGAAGCACGCTGGTTAAAGTTTGAGCCGGTGCGTCGCTATGGACCATGTGGTGCTCCCGCTCCCAAAGCCAAAGTGCGCCTTCGGAATAGCTACTATAGTAAATGTCGAAAGGGAGAAGTCAAAGCCATAGTATAACGCTTCACTGAATTTGAGAAATAATAGCTTCATGTTTGCTGACCTTTTTGTCTAAACATGGGGTTTCAAGCTTTTGCAGCATTTATTGCACAAACATCTCGACAAATAAGCGTGTTGAAAATATAACAGAACAAACACGTTGAAGAAAGCAAGGCAAAGGAAATGTATGACTTTCATAGTGGTGAGCAGGGTGTGAATGAGATTTTTCCCGTAGAAGGGGCTGCTTCGGATCGAACTTCTGAGCTATTCAGGGTTTCGAGAAAGCTGATATTACTGATCAGATCACACGCGTCTGATCCAACAATAAATGAAAAGTAAAAAAATATGAGCATGTGGGGTTAATATCGGGCGTCTAATTGAATACGCCGCTCAACGTCTGTCATTATCTCGATGAAACAAAGGAAATACCTAAAAGCCTCACAACACCGTGCAGTATGCCGTTTCGCGCAAATCTTACCTCGATAATGCCCAACAGAAGTGTCTTAATATATGAACACTTGGTATGGAACCAGCACATATTGGGTCTAATCAGCTCTGCAAACGTGGCAGGAAACAATTCCGCCGTCCAAAGGTAAAACTCAGTGTGTTAATGTTTGCCACTTTGCGCCTTTTATGTCATCTCATCCATCCACTCATGCTGATTTTGGTTATTTTAACAATCAATAGAACTTTTTTACAAAGGTTTAGCCTATTTTTTAGCTAAAAGCTTGTGAAAATTTCAACTATTGGTTTAAATATCCGAATGCAGCATGAGAAGACGAATTGGATGACAAAAAGCGCAAAATATCTGGAAATGAACATATGCGGTTTTTTTTCTTTTGGATGGCAGAATTGTGTCAAAGACTTATACAGTTGCATGCTCCTAAAACATGCTGAGTGCAGTGTGCATGCAATTTGGTGAGTGTGCACGAGTGTCTCATACAGAGTGTGCTCTTCAGCTCTTTAATCACTTTTGTTTTGTCACCAGCTCATAAAAACCCCGTAGATCAAAAATCAGTCGGTTGAACATGACAGACTGGTGCATTGCATTGCAGAAAAGACGCCCAGGTTGCCCGTGACCGCGACATTCTGGACTTAATCCCACTACCGTCAGTATGCCAGCCCAACAGACCGGATTCCAGCTAAACCATCGGCATTCCTCCACCGACAGACATCGTGCAGTTCCGTCCGACGACAGATCCGCTGGGAAAGCCAACGTGCCACCGCGCCGGCCAGTGACTGAGAAACGATTGGTGATCGGACGCAGGGCAGCTAGTTACCTCACGTGGTGTACCAAGTCTGTCTGGTGAGCCACAGATACAGGCATTCCCGAGTTAAGTTCGCGGTAGCGAAGTTTGCTGTCAATCTGGTATCGTGAAAGTCGGACACCTGCGACTGTGGTGTGGAAGTCGGACACCTGCGGCTGTGACATGGAGATCGGATACCTGCGGCTGCGACATGGAGGTCGGACACCCGCGGCTGTGACATAGAGGTCGGACACCTGCGGCTGTGACATGGAGGTCGGACACCTGCGGCTGTGACATTGAGGTCGGACACATGCGGCTGTGACATGGAGGTCGGACACCCGCGGCTGTGACATGGAGGTCGGACACCTGCGGCTGTGACATGGAGGTCGGACACCTGCGGCTGTGAGATGGAGGTTGGACACCTGCGACTGTGACATGGAGGTTGGACACCTGCGGCTGTGAGATGGAGGGCGGACCCTTGTGGCTGTGACATTGAGGTTAGACACCTGCGGCTGTGACATGGAGGTCGGACACCTGCGGTTGTGACATGAAGGTCGGACACCTGCGGCTGTGAGATGGAGGGCGGACTCTTGTGGCTGCGAGTTGGAGGGCGGACTCTTGTGGCTGCGAGTTGGAGGGCGGACTCTTGTGGCTGCGAGTTGGAGGGCGGACTCTTGTGGCTGCGAGTTGGAGGGCGGCCTCTGTGGCTGCGAGTTGGAGGGCGGACTCTTGTGGCTGCGAGTTGGAGGGCGGACTCTTGTGGCTGCGAGTTGGAGGGCGGACTCCCGCAGCGTTGCGAGTACCGCCCATCATGGCAGTCTGTGCTTATCTTGTGTGCCAGGAACACTGCCATTATGTTTCAATTGAGAGGCTCTGGATTACGAAACCGCATTTCATGGACGACACTGAAATGCAAACGCGCTTGTACTATGTCCTGCATTCTTCGGACAGAGACGTCTTCTTTTCCCGATGAACCCCAGCCATGTTGCGTAATCAATCGCATGTGCCGCCAAATATCATATGAATTCCCAGTGAAAAATTAAAATTGTTCAGCGCGTGTAGGTGAAAAACACAATCATCAACTTTGCTCAAGTAGCACAATGCACTGGTGTTCATCTATTAAACGCAGTCTTGAGACGTTCTTCACTGATCTAAGGTCATCTCGTAATGGCCATTTGACTGGCTGATTCGGTTGCAGGATAACAAGCTGACGCCGACAGGGCGCCCAAGCGCCAGGCATTTTAAAGTTCGTTTGCACCATTGAGTAGGCTCAGTTTTACCCCACTTGGAATGTGTGAAGTCTCCCAGGGACCAAGTTATCACCTGAGTAAAGGCGAACGCCCGCTGTCGTCTGAAGACAATGCCACTATGCGTGTATTCTTTAACATTTAATTTAATAATCGAATTTAAGCGCAGATCTCCAGCGACTGAACGGTCAAAGTGCTATTAACAAACACTAGTTACAGGGGTTTCCGTTTCGGTTAAATGAGCAAAGCAAAGGACAGTGTATGGTGGTCTCGAGACTTTCTAGCTGTAGCGATGGATGCAGTGATCGAAAAGTAAAGATGAAATATTATTTCATGCCCATAAGAACGTAGCAAATGTGAAGAGGCTCGAAGAACAACCTCGTAATTTCTCACGCAGCAGAATTTGGGAAAGGAGTCATGATGTCGGACGGTGTCAGATGGTGTCAGATGCTGTTTAACATGCGCAGTATGATGATGTGATCGCTTCGAACTATGTTCTCGGAACAGAAAATTTGTACGCGAAACTGGTCGCAGTCTAACGTGCGAAAACGGATTATTACTGAACAAGACCAAGCTGCGCATGCGCAGTTCAGCTCCGCAGAAGGCCTGCGGCGAGGCGTAAAGGACTGGATTAGCGTACAGCTGGCAACACGGCACTCTGATCACGACGCCCGGCCGCCGGAAAAACGCGGCGCCGACGCGGTCAGAGACCGGGCACAGAACAGCAACAGTGCTTTACACACTAGCTCGGCAGCCGGCTGAAAACATTGATCGGGAGTAGCCACTCAGGAGGGGTCGGAACCGGCACGGACCGGTCCTAACTGGATCTGCATCGTGGCTACGTCGGCGGTTTTACACTAATTTGAAAATCACGAGCACAAACGTTTCGCAGCAAACCGTTACGTGAAGTGTGATGATGGCGATTGGGGTTTTAGGGCGCGTCGACTTCTGGGGTCATTTTGCGCCCAATTACGTGAAGGGCTTCAGATATGATGTCAGATTGACTTTTTGATGGTCTCACATGATCGACACAACTGTTCAAAGCACCGTTTTCTGGTGAAACAGCACCAAGTCATCACAGGTCATACCTTGAGCTTAGTGTTGGTAGACGTCTGCGGACTCTGGGACTCTGCGTCTTTGCCCTGCGTCCAGTGAAACAGCACCAAGTCATCACGGATCATACCTTGAGCTTAGTGTTGGTAGACGTCTGCGGACTCTGGGACTCCGCGTCTTCGCCGTGCGGACTCTTCGAACTCAGACTGGAGAGCGAGTAGCTCCGCGGCCGCGTCCCGTCCTCAGACGCTGTGCCCTGAGGGGATCCCTGTGGCATGAAAGGAGCACGGACGTCAGCTGATCACGTTAGTGCTGTGTATGTGTGTGTGTGCAGATGCTTATCAAGCGTGAACAACAAGCTTTACACACGTCGTTTATGGTGTACTGAGTGCTTTGAAGGGAGGGCTCCACATTTGTATGGGTTTTGAATATCCATCGTGAAGATCATGCGGTGCAGTTCACAATACTGTCCTTCAGACCTAAACCTTCTAGTTTCTGAGCTACATGCTAGCGAACGAAGTTCTCAAACAAAGAACAAAGGTCTTGCGGAACAGCTAGTAAGTCGACACAGAGATTTAAAATATTTTGCTTACTTTTAAAGTCTAGTTGACATTGACAAATGGGACATGGACACTGTCCACTGTAGGTTGAAAGCTTGACACTGTGTGTTGAAAGCTTGTACTAACGGTCAGTTTAACAGCACACTTATGCGGCACTCAAAGCCATTAGCCATTGTACGATATGAGTGCGTGAGAACAATGTAAAGGCACGCTGTAAAATGCAATGAAAATGAATCCGATGCTCCATCGCAGGCTCTGTTTATCGCAGACCTTTAACAGTCGGGGGCTCGTTAACAGACGGCATGCTCCTTTCAGGAGTTTCAGTGACAGGCGCATGTGTTTCCCACATGGGGACGTCGCGGTCGTCTCGTGTCGCCGCTCCTCGTGGCGCAATCTCAATGTCCGGCGAGATAAAGCGCAGTTGAAGCAATCATAGCAGGTGCCGGGTATGAGATCCGGACGCATCTGGACCACGGGATAATGACGCAGGTGGATCGGGATGTACCAACCCTCGGAAACGCGGCAAGAACATAGCCTCGCAAACAAAACGGCACAAATTGCGAGACCAAATCGACCAATCCTTACGATATGGTATCCATCGTCCAAACTGAATGTCGCGCGCTACTCCGCATTCGGCTACGTTGCGTTCCTGCATGCACATCAAACATACATTAGGTTGCAAGTCACGAGTATGTTCGTCTCCAACGGGCGCAGAAGCGGGTCAGTCGGCGAGAATGGTACGCGTCCCCCGTGCGGTCGGGCCTACGCACCGCGTCCTCGGAGCGACGGCGGGCCATGACCGGGGACACGGCGGCGGGGCCAGGCACGTCACGTGCGCCGGGCTCGCCGCTGGTGCGCCGCGGCTCGTCGCGCCCGGCCTCGTTCTCGGCCAGTTGGTTGGCGTAATGGGAGCGCCAGGGCCGCGGGTCAGCGGGCCGCCGCGTGTCCGCCTCGGCCGGAGCCGGTGTCTCGAGCGAGTCGACCGTCATTGAGGCGGCGCACACGTCCTCGTGGCTCGACGACAGGCTGGTGGACGAAGCGGTTATCAGATCGTCGCAACATCAAAGGACAAGAGTGCATTAGGCTTCGGTGTGGCATATTCGTGTGGTTAGTTTACACGCTGCCACGCGCTAAAACATGCGTGCAATCCATCGACAGATGTCTTGCAAAGAACTAACAGGCACACCCTGAACACAAGCAGGCAACTAGAGTGGGATTTGGCAAGCTTTTTCAGAGTGTCGGGTGCAACCAGAATATGTGCCTCGAAAGCAACGCTTCAGACCCACGGCCGGCGCGGCTCCTTGACCTATGTCAACTGTCCAACCAAAGCCGCTGGCTTGTGCTAAATCGTCATTCTGCTGTTTTCCTGGAAAACTTCAATACCAGAATGCATCACCACACACCAATTGGACTCTTTTTCACAGCAGAACTTGGAATAGTGGCCCTGGAGGTCGTGCCGAATATGGTAATGACACCAACGCTCCATACAGAATGCAGCAATTGCTTAAAGAACTCGGCTAGCATGACTGTTTTTGACAAAGGTTAATTACGTCATGCCCCCTGCTAAGGGGGTGTTTATGACCTATAACTTTGCTAATGGCTTTTGGCCTGTCACTCAGCTCCTAGAATTGTATGTTTCGGTAGGAGTGTGATTATAATTGAGGTGTAAGCTGTACTTATTAGGTAAATTTGCTTATCTGTTCAATTACCATTGATTATTTAATCGATTTTATTGTTCATGTTTAATTACCACTGACATCTCTCGGAAATGGATTGACTGATTAATGGCTAATTGATTTGCCACCTTAGTAGTATCACCAGTGGGACTTGCTTACGCACTTAAACGTGCTCGATGAAAAGCATGATGTACTTTACTTAAATGCATTTTTAGCATCGTCATGTAACACTCAGCAACAAACCACTTGCTTGTTTCATTTTGCTTTTATAAAGGTTTGTGGTGTTCCAACTTAAGTTCATCAGGGTATACAGCTGATAACAAAATATCTAAACTCCTCCAACGAATGCGCATACCGAATTTTACTCTGGTTCCGAACATCGACCTTTAGGCACGCTGAACAGATGGTGGCATTCTTCCTCGATCCACGTCAGGGTATTAGAGCACTGTTACCGTTGGAATTTTTGCCTCCTTAGGCGCACTAAAATTTGGATAACGCAAAGCTATCGTTACGTCGCGTTCTTAGTCCTCCCTAGCTTAAGTCACCACCTGTCTCGGTCCGTGCCGTCGGAGCCGTTGCTGCCGTTGCTGGAGCCGTTGCTGGATGCGTTACCGGAGCCGGCAGTGCGATGACCTCCACGTGGAGACAGCACCGCGTTTTGCCACTGAAGCACGGGTCGCAGATGATGACAATCGCGAAGGCAGTCCAATGCAAGGGAGCACAATGCAAAGGAAATTAGAAGTCCGTGACAATAGCACTAACGTTATGACCAGGGAGGCCCCTTTGATCCGGAATGGCCATCGATCTCCTTTTACGCACGTACCTCTTGGCATTGGGGGGGGGGGGGGGGGGGCTGGGATGGAGATGGAACAGAGTTGTGCGTAGAATTATGATTGATGCAATAATGTGACTGGTCTTACTCGTGCGTAGACATTGGCACGAGACATTGGAGAAACGTGTCGAAAACGTGTAGAACGCTTCCCAATGTGCAGTCGTGCACATTCCTCCACATTCCCCCCGACACCGCTGGGTGTACAGTGGTACAGTCAAGCCCAGACAGCCCTGCGGCTTTCGGTAGGCACCCTCGAGCGGCCCGTCGTTTGCTACGCTGGTCGATGCTTTTGACAAACATTACGCTAAACGGTGCAGCGAGGCCCGTGGCTGCTTTGAGCGGGTACAGCAACATTTCCGGCTGTCATGCCACACACTAGTAGGCAACATCATTAGAGCTCCGGGAAAGAGACACCAGCTGTAGAGGGAGTACTGCACATAAAGCGCATACGCGGTTCCCATAGCTATCTCTGTGGCCATACAGCATACAGTGGTCATTTCGGTCATAAAGCATACAGTGTGTCGTTGGAAGCCATACAACACAGCTTGGCAGTGGATGTGATGCTAAGCCCAGCACCGACCGCGGTTGGCTGCATGACCAGAAGTACCCAGACGAGAGTGTTCACGTGCACAGACGAGCGTCCTCACGTGCTCAGACGAGCAGCCTTATGTGCTCAAATGAGTATCTTCACGTGCTCATACGAGCGTGCTCACGTGCTCAGATGAGCGTGCTCACGTGCCCAGATGAGCGTACTCACGTGCTGAACGAACGTACTCGACGTGCTCAAACGAGCGAACTCACGTGCTCAGACGAGTGTATTCGCATGTTCAGAAGAACGTACTCACGTCATCAAACGGGCGCACTCACGTGCACAGAAGAGCGCATCGCATAGTCTATTTCGCGGTATACTCCAAGTTCAATACAGAATTAAACGCTTCGTGATAAAAAGAATAATGCATCGCAGCTAGTTCTGTAGCCTGCACGCAACGTTTGCAAACTCTCAGGCCTTTGGCCGAGTGTCTGTATGGCACTGGCCTCGAGACCGTGGGGCGGCACTGCTCCACTGCACGACAGCTGGTCAGACTGTGGCGAACGGCGAGCTTCGCTGGCACGAGGGGCGCGTGTCAGTGAGCGTCGTCAGGTAGCAAGCGGCCGTCAGTGGGCGTCGTCAGGTAGCAAGCGAATCGGCAGCTTGGCAGGACACAGGAGTCTACGCAAGACTTGGGTAGCTCACCCGGACACAGGAGTGGACATTCGGCCTGGGGACGGCTCACCCGGACATAGGAGTGGACATTCGGCCTGGGGGCAGCTCACCTGAACATAGAAGTGGACATTCGGTCTGGGGGCGGCTCAACCGGACGTGGGAATGGACATTCAGTCTGGGGACGGCTCACCTGCAAATAGGAATGGACATTCGGCCTGGGGCCGCTCACCTGGACGTAGGAGTCGACGAAGGGCTTGAGGGCGGGGATCATGAGCACCTGCTCGGCGGAGGGGCGCCGGTCCGGCTGGGTTCGCAGCAGCACCGTCACCAGGTCACGCAGCAGCAGGCTGTAGTGACTGCCGGCGGTTGACGAAGAGACGCTCAGCGGCGGTCTCCGGCGAGGAGAGACCCTCGCTGCCCCCTCCCTCCCCCCTTCCCCGAACCCGAGGCCCGCACACACAGTTGCAGGCACGTCTAAATCTCCAGCAAGAGCGTTTGGTGGTTGCCCACAGCCTGCCAGGGCCAGGCACAGCATCATACGGGCTTCACTGATCGTATTGGGTTACATCATCGCGGTGGCTAGTGAACGTACCGTGTCTTAAGTTCAATGTATATTATGTTTAATGTCATGTCAACATAACACCCGAAGGAATCAGCCAAGTGCCAGCAAACCAGCAAACATAGATCCTCAACCTAAATTAGCGCACACATCTGCTCCGGCCAGATTGAATTCACCGTGGGGAGTAATTGAACTGAATTGAATTGAATTCACCGTAAACATATCCACGTTTACTAGATGTTGATTAATGCCAGAGACATGCCTGTTCAGCGAAGGAAGCCAGGCAACATCATTACCATATGAATACCGGCTGGGTACGATTTCAGTGCATGTGAATCAAATTTGCCCAACCTGCGGGTATATTAATAGCTTAAAGATACCGTTTAGGTCATACCGATGCATCCGCCGTCACCAAATCAACGAACCGATTAGAAGCCTCGGCCAGTGATGAAAACAAACGACAATGGGGCTGGTCAACGTGCCGAGCAAGACCAGAGGCGGAACAGGACTATGGACACCGTGCAGAGTGCAACAGGTTCAAGATGGAGCGAACAATGGCCGTGGTCAAGGAGATAGCGGCACAGAGGCAAATAAGTTCAAAACGTACGGAACAGGTGCCCTAGTTAATCAAGACTACCTACCGGTACGTAAAAATCGTACGCCTCTGTGCGCAAATGGGATCGAGTTGCAGCGGCGTACCTAGGGATCGGGTTGTAGCGAGCCTGTAGGATCTTCAGCACGAGATTCTCGAAGCTGTTCGCGTTGAAGGGATGCGTGAGGCAACACATCTCATAGACGATGCATCCCACCGCCCACTGGTCCGACTTGTGATTGTACGGCTGCCTGGCAGTTACGAAGGTACACGTGTTCAAAGGTAGCATGAACGAGCAGCACGCTATGCGTTCGCCAGTGTAGGTGAATTTGCTTAGAAACATGTCGAAAGGTACACTTAACCAAGAGCTTTACCATAGGCACACCAGCAAACAGAGTTTAAAAAAGAGGTGAATAACTTTCAGGCTACATATGTATCCGCCAGAAAACTGAATATTCCATCAGAGACTGATCGAAAGCGTGCCACGAGCGACTGATCTCGCTGCATGCCGCAGAGAAGAGGACCGAGACCTCACCTCTGGCATATCTCCGGGGACAGGTAGTACGGTGTGCCGATGGCAGTGGTAGCCAGCTCCTGGGTGCTCCGCAACGTGCGTGCGATACCGAAGTCGCCCACCTTCACCAGGTTCTCGCTCGTTAAAAAGATATTCTGAGTTTTAAGATCTGAAATGTCGCCCTTATTACGCTTGGCGCAATGTCGCGTGCGCAGCATTAGGGGAATCCAGGACAGTTGTGATGACCAGTAGAACAGAGAGCAAGTTAGTTCTGTCTAAGCTGACGACGGGTCCTGTGCTTGCGCACGCGCGTGGTCAGTGTTTAAGTCAAAATAAAACAAACTCTGGGCGTCTCAAGTTAGAAAAGTTTTTTTCTGATATGCTGCCGTATTAATCAAAATTGCAGCTTTTTTCATCCAGCTTTTTGATGAGCCGGGTTCATCCTTGCAAGGCTGAGCGCACTACACCACTTATTTGCCATTATCTATCCTTACTTTCTTTTCTTTACTTTGCTTATCCCAATCTTTGTTGTCTGTTGCCGCCAAAGCGGAGCCAGCCTGCGCCATTGCGTACAGTGCGGATGCGGAAGCTGACGCGAGCCAGCGTGCCACCTTGCACCCGTCCGACGCACCTCTGTGTAGAATGTTCTTGCTGTGCAGGTACTGGACGGCGAAGGTGATCTGGATGAACCAGTTGAGAATCAGATCCTCAGGAAAGTGGTCGTCGGTAGCCCGCTGGCCAACGATGCGCGCGTACAGATCACCTGCCAAAACAGACCAATTGTCCACTGTTGTAAACGCCAACCGCCAGAGGCCAAAGGCCGGCCAGGGACGGAAGGCAGAGATGTTTTGTCCGTTTTTCGCTAGCGTGCAAATTGACGGCCCGTTCGGTATATACTTCGCAACATACATGATGCACATTGCCGAACATTGCGAAAATAATGGTTTATTCAATTAAGACAGAAACGAAAAGTAAGATGGTGATCTTAAAATGGTTCAGAAACTTTGGCGTTCGTAATGACGCTTTTGGTTCCTTTGCTACAGGTTGTTTTCGTGACAAGCTTCCATGAATTTGAGAACTCTAACATTTGAAGCTAAAAGTAGCCCCGTGCATCGAAAGACGCTAGCTAGGGTTTCCAAAATGTTACACTAATTCATGACAATTACATTTTTAGAACATTAAGTGCTGCAGGACTTAGTACACACGGTGTTTTGTGTTGGTTTTGGAAAAGCTCTGCCCGAGTTCCATTTAGAATCATGTACGCCTCGGGCGTATTTTTTCGGGGTCACTACATGCTTCAGACCGCAAGATCTCCCAGACGCAGTGTTCTATTGCGGTGAGATGGTATAGATTATTTACGAAGTATTTGCAGTACTGCGAAACTACCACTGCAGCAATATTGTAGCAGTAATAGCCAGGGATAGAACTTTGCAATTTTCATTTAGAGGGACGAACCCATCAACCCTACACATCGTATTTAAGGAACGCATTTTTTCACGAATTGGGTCCATTTTACTCTACGGCTATAATTTGGAGTGATGTAAGGCAGAAGGGTAATTCTTATCAAATGATCCTTTTTTTTAAACCAAAGTGCTTATTTTGAGTTAACGGCCTACAGAACACATGGAGATGCTGATAAAACGGTGTTGTGATGCTACACAACGATTATATTGACGATATCCTATATAAATAGCTTCGCTCATCCTAAAGAGCTCATCTTTTCAGGATGAGCACGGGACAGCACATGGACGCTTACATTCTAGAAATATTTCTTCATAGTCGTCTCACAGCTTCCGAAAATTAAACACCGATTTTGCATCCTGTTTTTGGTCAAACATGGATAATTTGCGGGAGGAGAATCAGACACCACTTGGCCACAGCACCTGCCTGTCATAGTGGACACCGCACGTGCCCATAAGTGGTGCCGCTTCTATGCCACTCCAGGAGGCTGCGGGAAGACAGCGATTTTGGGTGGCTGTTGGGCTCTCCTCGGAAGTGCCAGCCGCTGGGGCCAAAGAAGATACTTCACTGAATGACGCGATGACAGTGTTCCAGAATTTTCTAAATTTGATCGTCTCATCCTGCTTGTAACCGAACAATACAGACAGGGGTGTGTCCTAAGGGTGGGTGGTAGAAGGTATGAAATCATGTCATCCCCCCTTTGGGCCACTTATGAGCAACCCTCTTGGGCCACACCAAAGCTTTATTTCGAAACTATACAGGCTATATTTCCAAGAGGCAACAAAGTCCAGGGACACTGCAAAAGATCCCAAATTTCCACTTTCGGGAGTCACCATATCCCAGGAGCACCACTTTATTTGTACCTTGTCTGTTTGACAAAATCCTAGGTCGCCCATTCCGCAAAGTAACTCTAAAACCATTATTTATGGCACTACAAGCTTTGCTTTCAGGATGCACCCGATTCCAGAGGGTACCACGAAGGAACGCAGACCTTCATTTTCAAGAGGCACCTCCCACCCTGAAAGAAATCCTGAAGCTTAGGCGACACGTCCCAAAACGTTTATTTCGATGCATCATTACCTTTATTTTTACGAGTGGTTTCTGTACGTTTCACCGTTATGAAATTCCTGATCGGTGCGTTCGTTGACTTTCAGCAAAGCGGCACTAACATTTTTCATTTGGGGGAGTCATGACCTTTATTTATTAGAGACACCCAATGCTAGGGTACACTTCGAAGGTGCCAAAATATTTATTTTAATAGATACAGCATTTCAGTTCAAATTGGAACACCTGCGACGCTCCATGGATGAAATCATGGATCGGTCCATTTCGCAATGGGACACCAAAACCTCTATTTTGCAGCATCAAAATGTTCACTTACTAAAGGCATCAAGTCCAAGTGGGCCAGTGGAGGGCTACCGAAACCGTCATTGTAAGGAACAACAGGATTTCCTTGCTGTCCATCCTGGCCAAGTTCCGAATCGACCCCTTCCACAAAGAGGCATCACAAAACCTGCACTGCGAAGCATCATAAACGCTACTTAAGCAGGCATCCAATTTCATGGCGCACCACAATGGGTCCCGAAACGTTTGTTTGAAGATACAACAAAGTCCAGCGCACCACAATGTTCCCACGTTTCCGGGGGGGGGGGGGGGGGATCGAGATCGGTCTCTTCGGCAATGGGTCACGAAAACTTACTTTGGGGCACCAGAGTTTGTATTGTTAAGTAGCCGCACAATCCAGAAAGGTCATTTTAAGGATCCGTACATTGTCATTTTCAAAGGGCACCAAAATCAGTGACTTCACAACTTTTAGGCCTTCCACCCTGATGAAACCCGAAGTCGGACCTCTTGTCGAAGACGCATATGATGCATTCATTTTGGGCATCAGAACTAGTATTTTGAAGAGGCGCCCACTTCTGAGGAGGCACCACGAGGGCCTCCAATCCCTTTAATTTCATGTGATGTCAAGATCAAGAGGGCACAAAAATTTCCCCATTTTTTATTTTAACGAGGAACCAAGGGCGCCACTGGCGATAGGACAGGATATCTGATCTACCTCAAGTTTCAGGTTTCTAGGTCCCGCGGAGCCCTTTGGGATCCAAAAGAGCAATAATCAAGGATCCGATCGAATGTTTCGAGGGGCAGGCCGGGAGATGAGAAGACATCAGCCAATAGGCAATACCGAACACTCCGTCCCGCGCCGGTTTTGGCCCTGGGGTCTCTTTCCCAAGTCGGAGTAGGGCCGAGCCTGCAGATGCTAATCCGAAAAAGCGTACATGGATCTGGCCCTTGTGCTGATCAGGGGTCACAATGCCCAACACGGGCCCCACGTCGGCAATAAGCCCAAAGTCGGCCATGGGAACACTTGCTGAACAGGGACAGGAGAATAACCTCGAACGTCAGAAGGCTACTTACGTTGGTCAGGACCCTGTTACCAATGACAGAAGACACGAGAAGATTATGCAGCGATCAAGGTCAAGGTCACTCACAAGGGGCAGTCACCTGAGCCCGTTAAAGACCGCAGGACCAAACGAGGGGCCCTGCGCACCGTCTTAACTAGTAGGCAGGGATCGATCAGCCGATTTGGTGCCTCAGCGACAATTAGGCATTGGACTCCCTGTGCCGGTAAGGAACCCTTTTGCGTTAATGGTGTGTCCCTGCATCGATCCAGTGTCAAATGACCAGGTCAGGGGACCTGGTCATCTGACAGTGTCGAATAAGGCAAGAAATTGTCGTACTTCTTCAACACGCTTAAAACGTGCAGCACATTATTTGAATATTTTCCATATCAACGACAACGTGCTACTCACATTTCATGTGCCTGACTGCATGTTTTGCTTTAAGAAAGCACCGCGTCAAAAATCTACAAATTTTAATATTTTTGCTGCTACCACGACCAACATTTCAATATTCGCGCCATGACGTGTCGCTCGAGAAGCATTACGAGTTAGACGAGGTGTACAGGTTATCGTTTTTACCGCTAACCATTCACTGTGGGGTTCGATTCCCGCCGGTGCCCGCCCCCTCTGCCTGGTTGAGAGGCAGGCGTCGCCATATGGTCTCAGAAGCGTCATATAGCCCCAATGACGCGCCCAAATTCACGATGAGGTTAGGGGCTTACAAAATGCAACTTTTTGTGGGCTTCGTTTTACGTAAGCCATTGACTATTGTGTTATATAAGTGTCTGTCTTCCTCTAATACTAAATTGCGAGTCTCTACGGCATCTCAAATTATATTAACTTAAAAAACTGGTCAAGTATTGGGAGTCAGGTTCCACTTCGTGAAAGCCGAGCGAACTAAAGCGATGGTCCAGCCAAGTATAAGGGGGCCCGCCGGACATTGTGGGGGGGGGGGGCAGCTCAACATTGTGGGGGGGGGCAGCTCAACATTGGGCGGGGGGGGCAGCTCAACATTGAGGAAGGGGGGGGGGGGTATGGCCCATCCATAGAGATACAAAGTTGCACCCCTGGTGATAGCACCAGGAATGCATTAGCTTGTAGACAGAACACGTATGGTGGCGCTGCCATCGGGCCAGCGACGTTGATCACACCACCCGCGCCGTACACGGAAACCAAGACAGCAAAACGAACAAAGAGATGCATGGGCTTCTCAGAATGAAACAGATTCGCCTCGCCAGATCCACCCTCGGAGAAGTGAACGGGTTGGTCACAAAATGCAGTCGATTAGCCCTCGCAAGCTAACGCGCCATGCCCCAACAACCAGGAGACCCAAATGCCGTAAGTGTCGAGAACTGATAGCCGAGGCCATCTAACGGATGCCACTACGCCCGTCCGCCCGCGAGCGGGGTGCCACACAAAGAGCAACTGTAAAGAAACCGTGCGAAATCTCCACGACCACAGCACACCCAAATGCAGTGCAGACGTCGCCGCGGCCAGCTTACCTCCGTCGGCGTACTCCATCACGATGTTGAGCGAGCCGGAGCTGTGCTCGATGAACGCCTCCTTGTAACGGATGATGTTGACGTGCTTGCACTGCGACAGGATGGCGACCTCATTGACGCTCTGCTCACGCTCATGCTCGGGCAGCGCCGTCACCTTGATCTCCTTGACAACGTACTGGCGGCCGCTGGCGCGCGAGCGCACCAGCCAGGCGTGCCCGAACGTGCCGGAGCCGATCTGCTCCTGGCGCTCGTAGCGGACCGCGCTGCTCATGCCGGCGGCTGGGGTCAGGGATCAACTGGCGCGCCGGGCCGCCGCGCTTGGCGCGTAGTGTCATCGCCCCGGGCGAGAGCGGTCAGCGGCGAGGGCGTGGCAGGGACGCGCTCAGCGAACGAACGCCGTGGGGGAGGGGGGGGGGGGGCTCGGTCAGGTGTGCTGGTCGCTGAGGTGAGCAGGTTAAGCTGTGGAATTCGAGATCACGCGGCGTTTGGTCCGCTTAACAGAGCAGTGCACCCAAGTTGTATAATGCGTGTCTAGCCCTTGAACATGCAAGGGAAAGGTGCCGAGCGCGGAGGCAGCCGGCAGTGCTCTGCCTGATTACTCTTGTTTTTTTTCCTACCGTCGTGATTTTCTTTCTAAGTTTCTTTTGCTTTGTGCTTTGACACCAACGCGACATTTTATCATACAGGATGCGTAAATTTCCTCATTGCTTTTCAGAAGGCTGTCTAGTCATTTCAATGACGTGCCCCGCGCCACATGCGCTGTGCATGATGGCAACCACGAAGTTTGTGCACCCGTAAAAATCCTTTCCAAGTAGACAAATCGATTGCGGCAAATACTGGGTTGTAAGGTTTATTGATAAGCGAGGGACGAAAGGAAAAAAGAAGGGTTTTGAAAAGAGCATCCTTTATAAGTCAACTGGTTTTCGACCTTTTGGAAACTGAAACACAACTGACGGCTGCATTGTTAGCGGCCAGTGCCTAGTAGCAGTAGTATCGTAATCTGGGGCTTTAAGCAGAGGCGTATTCGAGGGAGCTCCGGATGCGCTCCCTCCCCGCACCCGCCCGTCGCCACCCCGTACTATATATATATATATATATATATATATATATATATATATATATATGTATGTATATGCGCCGTGCAGTACACGAATTTCTGTGAGCCTAAGGCTTGATAATTTTTTTTTTCGTGCGCAAAATTTTACGCTTTGGCGCTTTCACGAAATCTTGTTGGCGCCCTGTCTTTGAGCACCACCCGAGCGGCCAGAAGATTTATAGTTAGTGATTTAGCTAGGTCATAAAGACGAAACCAAGATCCTTCACACCATTTAAGCCAGTTCACAAAAGCTCACGTCAATACACTGTTGAATCAATATTGTGGAGGGTACGACAACGTAATCAAACAACGACTTATTGATAGCTTATTTTCTCATCAAATAAATTGTGCTGTCCAAAACAGCCTTTACCACTTAAAAGTATGCCAATAGTTTTGATTGTGTTTATTTCATCATATCGCATGCGTGTTTTAATGTCTTGAAATGTAGAACATCCCTTGAGAATCGGGTCAATCGTGAGCACACAGGATCCGTGAAACAGTGTCCTCGCACCCGGGGAATTCATTTCCAATGCACTCGACAACGCTCCACGGCAGCTACATGGACCTTAGCGCATTGCCCTTTGACCATATGCTAAAACCACGTCCGCCACAAAGACAGGGTTTAATTAAATCTGATGCATTGGATATTGGATACGCCATCCAATGATGCCTCATAATTGCTTCTGCGGCCTACCACCTATCGACGGCCAACTTGACGCAAAATGCGAAGCGCCTGGCGAACAATATGAAGATGGCAGCCGACGTCGACGACGTAAACAATTTTCTCAGCACTCCGTTCGCCGACCCGACCGACGCAGTTGCTTGCCAAAACTGAAACGCTGGAGCGGCACGCGGAAGGATAGCCGGCGGCCATTACCTCGATCCTGGTGAAAACACGCTATAGTCTTGCTTGTCTTCTATCATTTCCTGTTTTCTACGTTGGTTACATTTCTTCATCAGATGCTTCATATCACGTGACCAGTTTCAATCAGCGCGTCGCCAGTGAATATGCCGCAGACCGCATCACGTGGGAACAATTGACTATTTTCCATTAATTATCACACGCATAAGACTAAAAACAAACATCCTTAACGTATACTCGTGTAACTTCCCCAATTTTCCAAACTCAGTTTTCCCAATTTCTCGATTACTTTCCCAGTCAGGAGCCAGAAAGAGGGCATATGGAAAGGATGGCGGCAAAGAGATGGCCGTCAAGCGTTCTTCTGATCGCGTTGCGCACCGTCACGAACAGTACGGCCACTAATGCATATGCGGCAGTGTTAATTTATCGTTTGACTTGATCTGACTTATGCTACTAACTGGTCTTGATAGTTCACATTAGATCCGCAATGTTTCCAGGGTTCCTATGGTTTTGGGTATTTGGTTCTATGGTCCTTGGCCTTCCCGATCTTCAAGCAAAGGTACGCAAGGGCCGATGGGTTTAGGTGTGGTCAACGCTACGTGACCACATTCATGTACCCCTACAGCCTCGATGTCGAAGGAGGCTACACCCGCCGACCAATGCTCTGAACAGTGCCAATATGCTCCGGTGAAAGTACTCTGATCTTTATCGGAAAAGATATGAAGTAGACATATTGATTCATATATTGGCAGATATGCAGACTAGTTGGAGAAAGCCATCATGTGGAATTTCTTAAGGGCTACAGCCATACCTAAGCGAGAGAGGAGCAGCTCAGTGGTATGCCAGGCTGTGGGTATGTATTCTGGGTCGTGCTATGATGGTGTGACTCATCTTGTCGATGTTTAGCTGGGTTTCCAAAGCTTCGATTTGATTTATGGTTTCGTGACTTCGGGCCGAGGCAACCAACAGTTCAACTGCTAGTTCACTAAACTAATTTTCCAATTCCAGTTTGCATCCTATAGCGGCAGAGATGCCAAAGCACGACGTTTAACATATTATCTCGACAATGGAAACCACGCGCACTGCCTGCGTCCCGTTGTAACCAGCTCTGAGTCTCTTCCACTACAAAAACCCAAACAATAACAACGATTCTAAACGATTACACAATTCTAAACGACGGCAAGGCTTCCCGCGGTGGCCTCGCGCGGGATACTAGGTAATGGTACTTAGTTCATGTGAACACCGAAAGACGCTTCTTGAGGAAGAAGACGTGAGAGACCGTAAAAACTCGCATCTAAGTAAGGTACACAGAAGAAGCATACACCTCGAAGCAAAAAGCATCGACATTGTAGATGAGCGGAGTAAGATTATCGATATTCAAGCTAAAGATGAGGGAGGGAGCGGTTCCAGCTGTAATACCACGCGACAGACAAATACAGCTGAAGTATGTCCCAGTTATCTAAAGATGTGATTAGTATTCGCTTCGGGAAATTCGTACAGGTTACCCACTAAGCGCACGGGTTAGCCCGTCAGCAAATGCACAGGCGGTTTGAGATGCATCACCATAGCGATTATCAGCACCGCCACGCACCACCAGACTATCGCCCGCGGGTGAAGCTGGAGTTGAGACTGCGCCTTGCCAGCAACTCCAGCCGCGACATCGTCGTTGGCAGCCGGCTCTTCCAGCCGGGGAAGAGCGTGGCCAAGGAGGCAGACTCCAGGCACCGTCGCAGCCCTGTTCAACGCCGCCGACAGGGGCGAAAGTCAGCAACTCCAGTCACTGAGCGCTTATTTTTACGATCACGTTAAGTTTCACAAAGTAATCCGTGTGCGCTTTCAGGTGATCATTCAGCTGGCGCCGGCCGCTGTTTTAACTAAGCCTGGCACTTCTGTTTAAGTCTAGTCTAGTCTAGTCTGCTGTTTTTAATCGATATTACTCCTCCGCCTGTTCCAACAAAACCTGGCTAAGGCAAATTGAAAAGGGAGAGCGAATCATTCGTCTTTTTGTTGCCAACGAACGCACGCTGGGTGGTGACGTTACGTATTAATACGAAATGCGAGACCCCTGAATTTTTCATTTGCTGAGATGTTTTTCCGAGCGGAAACATTTTGCCCGTATCGGGAAAGGCATATTCAGTAAACATGCAAGCAAGCAGAACACATTCGCAGTGCAACGATACCTACCTCGCACTTACGGACCACGACAGCGAATACACCACATGTACTTACAAGCACGGCTGAAACCCCGTTATGCAAGGAAAATACTAGAAAAACAACCCTTTTAGAGCCACTAGGAAGAGTTTTGCAAAGTGGCCACGTAGTCAGAGTTTTTTGAGGCCGTAATGTGGCAGGCAACACATTTGTAAGGCAACAAATTTGCATCAAATTATGAAGCTATGAGTCAACAGTTCGTAAATGGTCGAGCAACAGGCATTCCACCAGCGGCACGTTTTTAAAGAAAGACGTAAGTAGGCATTTCCTACGTCACGAGTTAGCGCCTTGACATTCGTAGTTTTTGGTTTGCAGCGTAAGCTGCCCAGTGTAAGCTATATGCAAAGCGGCGGATTCTCGGTAATAGCATTCTAGAGGTCACGGTTGCGAATGTGAGCGTGTCTTGGTGATCGTACCTTTGTGACCGTGCTGTAACCGTGCTGTCAAAGTGTGCACCAGAGAAACAGAGAACCACCGTCATCGAATCGAATCACACGTCTGCACCCATGGCGTTTCCACCAGCATGCATTTGGATGTCTTCACAAGGCTAGTTGTTGTTAAGAGATTTGTGTTCGCTGATATGGCTGCATGCCATGATTAATATGCTTTTTGATATTCCAAAGTGATGTGCATAAACTGGGGTATGACCGGTACGACTCACACATTTGCGATGTCATCATTATCTGTGCCTCTCAGCTCTCAGCACTAGGCATATTCGATGGACTTGCATTCGTCGAAAAGACCGTTTCCAGCAAGGCCCAGTCGCCAACATTAATGGCCATAGTCGCAGACGAGTTTTCGCTGTCCAGCTACCGTGCCTCGTGTCCATATGTTATTATTCGTTCAAATGCTGCCGTCACTGTCGAACATGCATGGACCCCCACATCAAAACTTCGAAAGGCCTGGCGTTGCACGGTCGTTTGGACACCACCAAAGAGCTCCAGTTGAACAACTAAATCGCATTCTGTTTGCCTATAATCTTCAACATTAACAACTTCAACTTCAACAACAACTTCATAAAGGAGTCCAATAAAACCAGATTTCAAGATATTATTGGCATAGCGCAATGTGCAGTGAGAATGAGATGCTATTTCTCAACACA